CACAACTCTTCTGGTCTTCAGTCTTTAGTGTTTAATGTATCAAATCTGTTCTTCAGATGATCTCTAAATTCATGTGGGATATATTCAAGGTCATATTTTGGGTCTCGTGGACTTGTTTTCATTTTCTTCAACTTCAGTTTGAATTTGCATATGAATAATTGATGGTCTGTTCCAGTCTTCCTCTGGCCTTGTTTTCACTGATGATATGGAGCTTTTCCATCATCTCTTTCCGAAGATGTAGTCAGTTTGTACCTAGTTACTGAAAATTAAAGAAGCTATATACTAGCATAGTGGTTACAAATAGGGCTGTGAACTGCAAGGTCAGCAGTTCGAAACTACCAGCTGTTCTGCAGGAGAAAGACGAGGCTTTCTGCTCCTGTAAAGATTTACAGCCTCGTAAACCCTGTTCAGGGTCGCTATGGGTGGGAACCAACTCGACGGCACTTAACAACAACAACAGCATACTAACATAGTGGTCACGAATCAGGCTGCGAACCGCAAGGTCAGCATTTCAAAACCGCCAGCTGTTTAGCAGGAGAAAAATGAGGCTTTCTGCTCCTGTAAAGATTTACAGCCTCAGAAACCCTGTACAGGGTCACTGTGAGTCAGAATTGACTCCACGGCACATCACCACCACCACCACCACCATACAAGAGTCTGCAAAGTAATAAGCATTGCCTTCAAGATAGTGTTTGTATTTTCAATGTTACTACTTACTTGCATTATACACAAAAAATATCAGAGGTTGTTACATGAGGTGTGTCGTGTAAGGAGATGGCACCTTACAGTGTTTCATTGTCCCTTGACATCTCTATTTTTCGCGTGTGATTTGAAGTGTGGGTAAAATGAAACTAAAATAATTTGGTGCCAATGGCTAATTTTCATTTTATAAAACAGTTTCTAAAGCCACTGTGAGCTTTATTTAACTTAGAGCCTTTCTGCAGAATTCACTTTGCTGGTGCTTCGCAAAGGCAAATGAAAATAGAGACTTTTTTTTCCAGTTACACATGCACAAAACTGGGACACCAACAGTGAAGGTGACTGCCAGAGTGAAAAAGCATGGAAGCCAGCAGTCTCTTGGCGCCTGGTCTGTGGCATATTCATTAGTTTGCTATATCATATTCATCTTCACATACCCTTGTTTCACCTCTTAGAAAAGAACAAGCTGAAATATCTCAGAAAGCAGATTGCTTCTTATAGACATGAGGCTGTATCTTTCAGCTTAATGTCCAAGCAATTCTCGGCTCAAGTTTGTTGTAGTAAAGAGTATTCTTAAATTCCTCTTAGTATTTCAAATTTGTCCAATAAACATGGATTTATTTATGGCAACAAAGGTGAACATTTCAAGTAGAAACCTGACTTTTAAGTTCAGAGATGATAATATTTGATTTGCAGGCATAACGTATTTCTATTTTAATTATTACTTTGTCTTTCAGTTACACCAGTTATATCTTCATTTTTTTTCATAATCTACTAAGAATATGCTAATATTAAATTAGGAAACTAGTAGTCATCCAAGTCTCATGAGAACCTCAGATTTTGAAATAAAAAAAATAAAAAAGGCTACTTAAGGTAACAGAAATGCATCATATCATAATTGTAATGTAGTTAATTGTCGGGGACCCGCCTCGACATTGGGGTTCAGTTCACGAGGAGAGGATACCTGACGGCGATTCATATATATCCAGAATATACAAAAGGAGACAAAGAGAGAGACAAAGAGACACTCCGAAACCAGAGTGAATGCTGGACTGGCATCAGGCAGATCCTGCATTGCAAACATCTCAGCCACAAAGGCCGTAATATCCTGCATAGTGAACATGTTAGCTAAACAGGCAGTATGGTTGCAAGGCTGGACTGTGCACCCTGCATGCTGAAGCGCATGCCTTGCCAGTCGTAATGCTCACCTGGGGAGGCCAGGGCCTCTGCTTTATTCAGGGGAGGAGCTTCACACCAAGCTGGGAGGGACTTAGGCAAGGTACAGCTAACATCAGTACTTTTCCAGACATTCAGGTAACTTTACATTGTGCTTTGCTGGTTCGAATCCCAGGCCAGCAACTTGGATTCTCAGGCCCAATTAACATATCTATAGCCCCTGAGCATAGTTGGGGGAAGGTGAGAGATAAAGACAAAAGCTTGGGTGGAGTCCTGCTGCTTTGGCTTCCTGAGCCAGGTCTGCAGGAGGACTCCAGATGCCCAGGTGAATGGGCTGCACCTGGAAAAGGATTAGGGAGGATGGGTTCTTTGTCTATAGAACAAAGAGCTGTGAAGTAGCTAAGACATTTTTAGTTAATCCTTTGGAGAAAGGCTTAACCTTGCAATCTTTAGTCTTGGCTTTAGGAAAATACCACATTTATCTGTGGATTGTCAAAGGCTCCAGTGTATTAATTTAATATATATACCTGAATATTAATATGAAAGCAATTTACCATTAACTGCCAGTGGCCTCATTTGTTACACTCAGCCCTAGAGGGCCTCGAACCTCTGACTAGTCTTACACGGTCTGCAACAGTTAATCAGTTACTTTGCAATCATACCTGTAAAGCCAGAACTAAATGTTCAGATTATAACAATTGGAAGTTTGGGAGTTCTACACACTTTGCAACAGAGGTTTAAAAATAGTACTCATAGCAAATTACCTTAAGAACAAATGATTAATTCAATGATTTTTAAATATAGGAGAAATTATTGGAATCAGAAAGGCAAAGGAAACAACTGACAGAAGACCTCCAGAATGTAAAACAGGTAAGAGCATGTATAGCACGTATGATACGTGTCTTGTGTGTGTGTGGAAACATTTAGGGCATAACACAGCAATGGTTTGTAATATTCAAGAACTTAGAGATGTAAATAAATCATGTAGATCTTTAAAAAAGTTCCTGTGCTCAAGTTCTGCTACTGTTGCTCAAAGAAATGTTAAAACTCCTTTTTGACAATTACTTCCAAAACCAGATATCCATGAACTAAATGATAGGCATCATTGTTTTTCTATTTTCTTCCTTTTCCCCTTCATTTTTGCCTTTTATTCTGACCTAATTTTATTAAAGAGAAAGGAAGAATAAAAAATCTCCAGTACAAGTCTTTTTTTTTGGTCTATAGAACATTGTTAGAGATCAATGGTGCTTGCCTGATTTCAGATCTCTCCTTCGTTATCCCCCAAAATTGACAAGGAAATCAAATAAAACTGTGCATGACTATGTGGCAGTGAACACCACACCCTTCAAATTACATGTGAATCAAGTAAGAAAGAGAACATTCCTGCAGCTCACCTGTTACAGCAAGCTTGACGTACAGAAAGCGGCAGAGCTAAGACTTAAAGAGACTATACAAAAGACTAGAAGGAAACGGAGGAATTAACTGAAGTAGCAACAGAAAGAGAATTACCTCCGGAAAAAGGAGCTACACCAGTGAATACCAGAACACTGAATCCAGGTCAAGATTCATGGTCCTCCTCGCTGGCTATGAGGAAGGGACTTCTGAGTGTGAACAGCCAGAATGACAGCCTTAAGAAAACTTGTTTCAGGAGAAAGTTTATACAAATACAGAGAAAGGGGATGGTTTTCCTACCGACTAGGCAATGAACAAAATAGAAGGGAAATTATGTATTATATGTAAATTAAAGAGAAACAAGACACACAATTCTCCCTGCCCAACACCCCTCCCCAACCTGTACCATCAACAACACTGTCCATAAAGGAAACTTCACTGAAAAGCCTGCTCTTGAACCAAGAGCTCCTTCTGTGAAGTAAAAAGGAAAAGAAAAACTTTGGCCCCATCATCACCAAACCCAAATAATGTGATTGAACCCTTTCCTGCTAATGAACACTGTCTAAAACAATTCAGTGACTAAGCTGAAGAAAAGTAACACAACATTACAAACTCAGTTAAATCTCGACAAAAACGCATCTGAAGCTCAGAAAAAAACTTAAATCAGAAATAAAAACTAAGAATAGAATTTGACCTCCCCAAAAAAGGGAACAAACGAAATGAAAATTGGTAAAACTTAGGAAAGAAATGGAAGGAAAAGACAATATCATATATCAGAAATGAAAAGCAACTTATAAGGTGCCCAGCGAAGAATAAATATCCAATGGAAAGGCTGCAAGGAAAATGAAATTAAAATACAGAAGTAATTCAAAACAACTGAACACTAAGGTTAGGCTTATAATCCAAGAACACTTTCCAAAAATGAAAGAAGACCAGACTATGCCCTAGGACACTCAGGAAATTTGACCTGGAAATACCAACTCCAGGATATATCTTAGGCAAAGTGTTATACTTTTAATGTAAAGACAGAATGCTCAGTGCCTCTAGTTAAAAAGATTAAATAACTTAAAAGACAGTAGAATTAGATTTGCATCAGTCATCTCAAAAGCACCAACAGAACAGCATTTTTAAGAAACAAACAGTGGAGAGATTATGAGCCAAGAATATTGTGCATAGCCAAACCGATGTTCTGACATCAAGGCTGTAGACAATAAAATTGGAATGTGCCAGTGCTTAGGAATGGTTTACACATGTGGTGTACTACAGAGGAATCGAAGACAGAATGAGCTTCATCCAACCCCAAAATTACTAGGATAACTGGCAAAAGTTCCCAGTAGTGAGCACATCATATATTTCACTGTATAGCTGATATTAAAATGAGAGACGGGTGAAAGAATAATATGTAAATGTTGTTGTAGGTGCCATCAAGTCAGTTCCTACTCAGTGACCCTACGCACAACAGAAGGAAATACTGCCCAGTCCTGCGCCACCCTCAAAATAGTTATTCTTGAGCCCATTCCTGCTGCCACTGTGCCAGTCTATCTCATTGCGGGGGGGCTCTTTTTTTGCTGACCCTCCACTTTACCTGGCATGATGTTCTTCAGGAACGGTCCCTCCTGATAATATATCTGAAACATGAGACATAAAATCTGGCCATCCTGGCTTCTAAGGAGCATTCTGGCTGTACTTCTTCCAACACAGATTTGTTTGTTCTTTTGGCAGTCCATGGTACCTTCAATTTTCTTCTCTAACACCATGACTCAAATACATTAATTCTTCTACAGTCTTCCTTATTCATTGTCCAATTATCACCTGCATATAAGGTTATTGAAAATACCATAGCTTGGGTCAGGCACACCTTATATCTCAACTGGACATCTTTGCTATTGAATACTTTAAAGAGGTTGTGTGCAGAAGATTTGCCTAATGCAATGTATCACTTGATTTCTTGACTGTTGCTTCCATGAGTGTTGATAGTGAATCGCAAGCAAAAAGAAATCTTTGACAACGTCAATCTCTTCTCCATTTATCATGATCTTGTTTATTAATTCAGTGGTGAGGATTTTTGTTTTCTTTGCACTGAGGTTCAACCTATACTGAAGTTGGTGGTCTCTGATTTTCATCAGTAAGTACTTTAACTCCTCTAAGCTTTTAGCAAGCAAGATTGTATTATCTGCATATCACAGGTTGTTAATGAGTCGTCCTCCAATCCTGATGCCACATTCTTCTTCATATAATCCAGCTTCTCAGATTGTTTGCTCAGCATACAACCCTGGTGTACACCTTTCCTGATTTTCAAACCATTCAGTGCCCCCTTGTTCTATTTGGGTAACTGCCTCTTGGTCTGTGTACAGAATCCTCATGAGCACAATGAAGTGTTCTGGAATACCCAGTCTTTGCAATGTTATCTATGTTGTTGTTGTTGTTAAGTACCGTGAAGTCGGTTCCAACTCATAGCGACCCTGCACAGGGTTTCCGAGGCTGCAAATCTTTACGGGAGCAGAATGCTTTATCTTTCTCCCGCGGAATAGCTGGTAGTTTCGAACTGCCGACCTTGAGGTTAGCAGCCCGATTCGTAACCACTACACTACCAGAGCTCCTTAATGTTATCTGTAGCTTGTCATAAATCCACACAATTGAAAGCCTTTACATAGCCAATACTGCACAGGAAAACATCTTTCTGGTGTTCTCTGCTGTCAGTCATGATCCATCTGACGTCAGCAATGATATCCCTCTTTCAACCTCCTTATCTAAATCTGACTTAAACCTCTGGCAGTTCCCTATCAATGTACTGTCGCAGCCATTTTTGAATTTAGCAAAAATTAACTTGCATGTGAGATTAATGATACTGTCCAATGATTTCTGCATTCCATTAGATCACCTCTTTGGAATGTGCACAAATATAGATCTCTTCTAATCAGTTGGCCAGGTAGCTGTCTTCCAAATATTATACTCTGAAAAACAGTCAAAAGAATGTAATTTTTTTAAAAATAAGGAAATATAAGAGAGAAAATAGAACATGATCATTCTGTTGAATAAGTAAAGGTTAGCAATCAAGGAATATCTACATCTTACATATCAGATAGTAGAAGATAAAAATAAGTGGGAATACAAGTATTATAAAAAGTAAGCCTACTAATGTGACATCCATTGATAATTGGAACATGGAATGTA